GTTTTGGGGGGGGGGGGTTGTTAGTTTGTTTTCTTTTAGCGCTTATCATGTAGATGTGGATGATAGGCCCAGAGATTTCTGAATCTGGAAATTTCTGAAGTAGGAGGATAAAAGGTCACTATTCTTCATCCTTTAGGTCACTGACCGAAGATAACATCCCAACCCTGTGCAATTACGATCAGGAAATAAATGCACCACAGGCATGGTCAAGGCCCAGGACACAATTCCTGAAATCACTCTCAGTCAGCGGCCAGCCATTTCAAGGACTGTCTGCCAGCCTCTTGGACCCTGTTCAGATGACTTTGAGCTGGATGTGCGTTAAAATTAAAGATGCTTAACTTGCAGGACGGATCGTGTCCAATAAATGAAAAGCTGCCCATTAACCTCTTGTGTTCAGAGGCCGTCACGTCACCGGGGGCCTTGAAAGAGCACTTCTCCTACCTTGCAACCTTTCACAACTAAAGGAAACAAAATAAAACAAACATTTGCCCGACCAGAACCGATAGGTTTGTTCAAACAGCCATTTTCTAGGGTCATGGGGTTGAGAGAGATTCTGGAGTTATTTTGAGTCTGGCCCCTCCTTTTATCAGTGAAGAAACTGAGGCCCAGACCTTGTCTGATCACAAGGCTTCTTAGCGTCTCCTGGGCTTCAAACTGCTCTCTGTCCCCACGAATTTTCTGGAAGTCTGTTACTCCAGCCCCCTGGGGAAGCTGGTAAGTCGAATTACTAGTTTAAGGCTTTTTAAAATTTCAACCCTAATGCTCTGATCTTGGGTGAGGGTTGGCTTTTGCATTCAGTTTCACATACTTGTCTTTATGGGAAATGAACCACACCCAGTGATTCCATGGTATTTTCCATTCCTGCCCCTCCCCGACCCCCACCAAGTAGAGGTTGTGAAGGAATCTGAGGAAGATTAGCCTATTTTGCCTGTAGGCAGGATGGACTCAAGATGATCATAATCAGATGACCACATTTTTCAGTCTTAAAATAGCCACCGACAAAAACGCGCCATTTCCCTCTGGAAAGTCTGCCGCTATATGCGCTGAGCTCTGTTTACTGAAAGGGTGTCACTGACCCCCCTTCAGCTGGCCACAGAGCATGAACCTGGAGTCTCTTACCAGGGTTTGCTTGGACCCATTCTGCATGAAGGAACGCGCTTCCCCGGTGAATGTTCAAGATGGAGAGCGCCACAAGCCCTAGTTTGGGGCACCGCTGCGGCTCTGACTTTTGCCCTGTATTCGAGGTGCCAGGCTAAACGATACGCGGTCCAGTCGTTTCCCATTTAGCTGAGGGAGTCACCATCATGCGGGGATTCAGGGGATCGTCCAGAGCAGCCCTCAAACAGGAAGACATTTTCTGCCCCTTTCTAACAAGATCTCCCAAGGCAGAGCCTGCAAGTCCCACCTTAGGAATGCCTTCCCCCATCTACCCCGGTGTTGCTAAGTCCTTCGTGAAGGGGTAAAAAGGAATGCTTTTCGTCCAAAATCGAACGAGAACAAGAGAGCCCTTCCAGAGGTCTTGCAACTTACTTTGATGTGGGGGTGCTTTGCACACGCCGTCCCCCACACACGGGAACAACGCTCCTCCTTTCTGTGTTCGTAGAATTCGGGGTCTCGTAAGATGGCCACTCTCCGTCCATCGTAGGTCAGGACAAACTCACTGCGTCCCTCCAGCCGCGTCTTGTCATCCGCAGAGACAGGCAGCACGATGGGGATGCTCATGCTGATCACTCCATCTGTAGAAAGAGCCACAGGACGCGTGAATACGGGATCCAAGGTGTACCATCCTTGAAGGGCAATTCGAATGCACACAACGTGCATTCAAACACTGCCTGAAGTGCACGGGGTGCGAAGACCTAAATCCCCCATGGCTGTGTTGGCCGCAGCAATTTCTCCAGGGGGTCTGACAAGAAGTCCTTGAGAGGCTTCTCAAAGCAAGAGACAGACGCATCTGTGAAAAGTGGGCTGCGTGTCAAATCACGGAGGTGGCTTCAGTAAGTTACCTAATTTGGGGACTGAGGAGGGGACATTTCTCTTCTGGGTTCCCTTTTGAAAGCGTGGTGCTGACCTCGTCATACCAGAGTTTTAAGGTCTTTAGAAATCCAATTACACAAAATAAAGGTTGGCCAAGCAAACCCAAATGCAAACCTCTAGTCTCTCTTGGAAATGAGTCCTGTAACAACATTGGCCAATCTCTTGTTCTCTGTTTAGGCTGTCACTGTGCTACCAACACACTGTATTGAAAAGAGAGAGAAAAAAAAGAGTCAGACCATTAACACTAGCGGGTAGGAAGGACCAAGCCATCCACCTGCTCTGTTTACTATGGTCCAGGCTCAGCGTCACCTTTAAATGCTATCGAAAAGATTGACCTGAGGACCAACATCCTCACCAGCCCAACTGCTACGGAGAACTACCAGTCGAAAAACAGAAAGAAGGGAAAACCGTGCAAAGCTGGTTTCCTAAAACTCATGCATTTCCCACGGACAGCAAGCACCTCTCCCCCTGAGGCTAAGTATCCTACATTACAAAGAATTTAAGTCAACTGGCATTCTGGTCTCTCCGTATACAACACAACAAACCGGAAGGTGTGGGAGGTGGTGTTCAGAGAATTTACGTCTTCAGCTGTAACCATGCCTCGCGACAGCTTGGCCTCAAAGGAAGAGGCAGGAAAATGACTTAAAAACTGACGTAGAGGGGCGCCTGGGTGGCGCAGTCGGTTAAGCGTCCGACTTCAGCCGGGTCACAATCTCGCGGTCCGGGAGTTCGAGCCCCGCGTCGGGCTCTGGGCTGATGGCTCAGAGCCTGGAGCCTGTTTCCGATTCTGTGTCTCCCTCTCTCTCTGCCCCTCCCCCGTTCATGCTCTGTCTCTCTCTGTCCCAAAAATAAATAAACGTTGAAAAAAAAAATAAAAAAAAAATAAAAAAAAAACAACTGACGTAGAAACTCTAGGTGTCCATTCGGCTAGCCTGCAGTTCCCAGGTAGTCAGTCGAACATTATTCTAGATGTCTCTCTGAAGGTATTTTTAAGATGGGATGAACATGTAAGTCAGGGGACTTTGGGTAGAGCAGATTACTCTCCGTAAGGTGGTGAGCCTCAGAGAATCACTTGAAGGACCCAACAGAAACAGACGGACTTTCTAGGAAGAACAGGGAATTCTGCCCACAGACTGTGGGGCCGAATTACGTCTCCCCCGGGGTCTCTCGCCTGCCAGTCTACCCTGCAGATCTCGGACTTGCCAGGCTCTGCAACTTCGAGAGCCAGTTCCTTAAAATCAATCTCTCCCTCTCTCTCTGTGACCCCCACCCCCCACCCGTCTCCTGTTTCTCTGGAGAACCCTGACTAATAAAGAAACCAAAAGGAGAGTCACAGGGGTTCCTTCTGTGTGGGGCCAATAACCCCTCAGAGCACCATTATGTTACCATTCAGCTCAATAGTGGCAGTGAAGTCACTTTTTTTTTTAATTATTTAAAAAA